TGATACCTCTTATAGTTTTTGAGAGAATCCATAATTTCCAAAATTCTTATTTATTAATATTCCCTTTTGATCAGGGTAAAATGGTGCATATGAACATATTGGTAGGGAAAAACCATGTTTCTAAAAAAATTTTAATTGATCTAGCTCAACTCTAACTAGGCTATATTTTAAGACATCGAGTGTAAAGCATTTTGGCGAAACTTTTATAATTCATTTAAAGTGATAAAGTTATTTATTTATCATTTTGTAACAAAAAAGTCTAAATATTGCTTATAATATTTAGTAATGTTTTAAAATATTTAAATATAAAAGAATTTGATTTAACTATTATTAGCAATACTTTTTATTAATACATTATTAATAATAGTTTACTACAATAATAGATAATGATTTAAAAGTTCAATTTGACCGGATATTGGCCGGTGAGGCAAGCCGTGCAGTGACCAATCCTTTCGGCCATAACGTCCTCCTCATAGTTTGGGTCCTCTTTCAGTAATTGCTCCTTAATTCCCGACTGAACCGACTTTTTCAGGCCATCGACCGACAGATACACGAGAGAAGCGGCCCCTACATAATCAATTCAATAAAATTATACACAATCTAGGGTATTTGTTTTACTACAGTAGTCAAATGATTTTCAAACCTAGTGTTTGTGCCAATTGTTCAGCTTTTAGGTGATTGGCCACCAATTCCTCTTTAGTTGGAATATTGATTCCCATATAACAGGGAAAATGGAGGGGCGGGGATGCGATTCTTAATATACAAAAATAATATATTAATTAAACTCTGAAATTTGAAATGTTTTCAATTTTTTACCTTATATGCACTTCTTTAGCACCTTTAGTACAAATGATATTAAAATTAAATATTCATTAATTAGTTAAATAATATACATTTAAAGTTAAAAATAAATACCTGCGTCCTTTAGTAGCCTGATCAACTGTCCAATAGTTGTACCTATTATAAAAGAAAAATATATTAAATAATATAAATATCAATAAGTTATATACAGTAATACAGTACTACCGCGTAAGTAAATTTAATCCATACCTCTAACAATAGAATCGTCGATTAAAATAATTGACTTTCCAATAAAATTCTGGGAAAGGGGTCCAAATTTTTTGGCAACAGCTAAGCGCCTTAATTTGATTGACGGCTGAATGAAGGAACGGCCTGTAATTAAAAGTAAAGACATTAATATAATATAATAGTATATTAATATTTAATTAATTAAAACAATTGGATATACGGACCGACATATCTATTTTTACAGAAGACCTCGACATACGGCAGGTTCGCCTGCTGTGCATAACCTAAAGCGGCCGGAATAGAGGTCTCGGGAACGGGCGCTACAATCAAATCACTCGAAGCAAAAGAGGTCTCGCCATTTGTGATTCCATTGGACGGGCCCTCACCCAAAGCCACAGGCGCTTCGATAGCCAATTGTCGGCCACACTTCTGTCTGACTGAATAGACCATCTGTAAAGGGGTTGAGATGTTATATGAGATAAATATTGTTGCTTGCTCTATTCTATACAACATGTGTATACCTGTCCCTCCATCATAGAGTCGGGTCGAGCGAAGTATACGTATTCAAAAATACAAAAGGCTGGGGGAGCGGCTGGAAATAGATTTGATATACAATTGAAACAAGACCATTTCTGAACAATAGTGTGTTTTATAATTTTGCATATTTTTGTTCCGATTTTTAATAATGAATACCTCTTTAATGTAAACCAATTGTGTTGTGTTGAGATTTCCACCAAATTTGGTCTAATAGTCTCTATTTATGAATATCTATATTATAACGACTGTTACTTTACCTTCAGGTCGAGGAACTATAGCCAAAGTCTTGGGTTTTCTATTCTTTTCCAATTTAATGATCTCTCCGGGCATTACATCCCTATAGAGTTTGGCGCAAACGGATGGGAAGGAACAGGACTCCGACGATACAACCCATCCGTCGACGTTAGAGGGAAGAGTCGATGAGTTTATTTGTGTTGTCGACGAAACTTATTTTAATTAATTATTATTAATTCATTTGTAAATCGAAGGCATTATTGAGTGCATACCTAAAGCCCCCAAACAAAGGGGACGGTTACCAAAAGGGTCGCGTATGGCGTAAATGCATTCGTCCCACATTACGATCAATGAATAGGACAGTGGTGTCAATGACATCAACTAATCAATTCGTAACAATTAAATTAATGAGCTTGAAACACAATACAAATAAATAATCCAATAAAACCCCAAAATATCTAAATCAACAACAATTACTAAGCCATCTCTAATTAATTATTCCTAAATTCTTTAAATTTAAAAACCCTTATTTTCAAATTACATTTCTATAGTGGGCAAATAAATGTAATTTTATTGTTGTCGTTATAGAATTAATCCCTAAATATCTAATGACAATTTCATTTATAGAATTTCCAAGAATTTTAATAGCAATATTAAGATTTAATTTGTATAAGAAACCCTTTATAGTGCCTAATTCTTGTAAAATAACTATATAATTACGTGTAAAATTCTTGCGACAAAATCCGAGTCCCTTTGAGACATATGGTGCTAGAAAATAATAGAAAATAATTAAAATTAGTGTAAATTTAGTCTTATTAAAGATATCGGTGAGATAAAAACCTGAGCATAGGGATTGACTGTTGTGTTTTTGGATGAGTGATGTTCCTCTGACTGTAAGACATATTAAAGAAATGTGATAAATTGCTTTATTTGGTAAAAGATGGTTTGATTACATGTCCGTTTGTGATGCCGTTTTGTGAATTGGTGGCACATTTATCGCAACTGGATTGCATGCTATTCATACTATTACTCCTTTCGAAGTTGAATTGTTTGAATTGTTGCGGCGGTTCCATAGATAAGGCTTGAGTTATGAGCTCAGAGTCACTTCCTATACATCCAAATCTTATTTATTCATTTGCTTCCATAGAATATTTGTAATAATAATAATAATACTATTTGTTTCAATATTTATCATCACTTATGATTTCCCAAAGAATAAATATATAAATATTTGTTTAAAAACATTGACCCAAAAGTGTAATTAAAACACAACTCTTCTAATGTATTCTGATAGCTATTGTAAGTGTTTTGTGTGTCTTTGAATTTAATATAATTGATTAGATTGTCGTAAATCACATGACAATAGATATGACAAGCGATTGACAAAAGCAAACAAAATATGCACAAAACCTGTGGTCAGTCCGACGCCGTTCCTCAGGATCCTCTCCCGGAGCGCCTGTGAGTTGACTAACTCTCCGTTGTGTGCCATCGCGATAGTGCCGTAAGCCGTGTGCACAACGAATGGTTGGGCTAACTGTGCGTTGTCCGCCCCACCCATAGTCGAGTACCTCGTGTGTCCGATACCCAGATTGCCCTTTAATGTCATCATAATTGGTTCGTTGAACACTTGCGACACTAAACCCATTCCTCTGTGCACTGAAAACGGCTCTGAAATATGGTTAACACAATTGTTTAGTCATTTTCAATCCATTTTAGTTATGCATTTAAAAGCAGTTAATTCTGTGAATTCTATACAATTTCTGTTTCATTAATCTACATTACAGTAAATACTCTATTATGGTCAAAAAACTTAAATTATGTATTGTTTGCATTTTAATAAATCCACTGAAAGTTCATTCAATTGTTTGGCTAAAAGCTTTAAATTAAAATCCATAAGTTTTGGGTCATAGAGTACAAAACATTAGGTGAATAAAACCTAACATTTCATAAATTAGTAAGTTCCTTAACATCTATATTTTTAAAGGTTTTTTATTGTATGCTTGAATTTTGAAAAAGTGTTTTCAACACAAACCGTGAGTCCATTTACTGGTGACAATTCCGGCCGATTCTTGTCCTCTAAATATTGTGTTTGCAAATACATAAAGCAATTAATAATTTTTAATTTAAAGGATTAAATACAATTTTTGAAAATAAGATAGCATAGCAATTATAGGAAATAGATATGAATTATCTCGAGTCAATTAGACTAAGACTTATAAACATTTAAAATTGCTGATTTTGAATTATCTATAAAATATTGTATGATCTCATATTGAAATAAAATTTCTTAATTTTTACAAATATTATATATGATCAAACAAAGTTTTAGTTTTTTAATATTACACATTTATCAATTAATAATCTAAATAATTGCTTAATCCCTAATACCGATTAAAACTGGTTCTTATGGTATGATTTTTGTGTTTAATATGGAGTTTGTTATTTACCCCAGAATATCATCAAGATCTCTAGTAAATAAATAACAAATATAATTTGTACATCAAGTGATATATTTCATTACAAACTTTATTGAAGAGTAAACAATAAATAATAAAAGAGAAAATGCGTCGAAATTAAGTGATAATAATTGTATATCAATGCGAGTACTTGTGGTAACAGTTAGACTCAATCACGACATCACGCATCCAATTATGAGACAATCAAATGTTTATTTAAAACATACGATTAATTATCAAATTGATTAACCATTTCATCATAATTCTAATTTAATTAATTTGTTGTCATGTTAGCTTTTAACACCAATTTACTTTTATTTCCTAAATCAACCAGCACATTGCACATCTCTTGTAACACAAATTAATTATATAATTAATTACGAAAACAAAATAATAGAAAAACATAACAATATAAATGACATATAGATATAATTAGTATGAAAATTATTATTTAAACACAATTATCTACATATAGTAAGTAATAATCACTTTTAATTTATAGCTCATACAAAAGATAACTATACATAGTTAACTACTATAACTGTAGTTTATAGCTTATTAGTTAATAAATTATGCAATTATTATCGAAATACCTGTGCTGAAGACCTACAAGTCCTAAACATACGATGTGTGCGACATCGAGAGGTGTAGGCCATTCACCATTAGCTATGCAGCCAAATATGCCGCATTTGTCCTGGAGCATTTCCAGACCGTCCTCGATGTCATTGTCAAGGTTTAGCATAGCTTTTAGTTTTTCGCTCAATTTCTCAGACATTTTGTTTATAAATTATTTGACAAAAAGGAAATGCAATTAAAACACAAAAAGGTTTTCAAATATTTAATTGTCGTTTATCTGAACACAATATTCAGGTATAAAGTATTTATGAGAATTGCGACCACATGTGAGTAAAAGTCTTATCAAATCAAATAGCACTTTATGATCACACAATTTCTTATGAGACCATCACTTAAGTTATATAAATTGAAAAATTATTAGCCCGCAATAATAAGTTATTACTTTTGAATGATAATTTCTTATTTGATAATTGTTTATTAGGATATACTTTTTTAATTTAACCAAAAATCACAAGATTTAAAGTCATTCCCAAAAATTTCAAAACCCGTTCAACGACTTTGAAATGTACTTCAAATGAATTTAATTATTCACATCAATAATTGCTTAATTGTGTTGAAAAATAGTTTTAATTATTTGATATTGTATTAAAGTCTCACTATTAATACAGAATTAAAAGACTTGATACTTTTTGTCTTTTGTCACAAAAGGTCCACAACTTTTATATATTTATTCAATTTTTCTTATCAATTGATGAGACTTTAGTCAAGGACTTGAAGGCCTTATTTTGATTCAAAACTTCTGTTTCTAACTGAAACTCATGTTAAATATACTCGAATTGGTTTTTAGTATTAAAATCTGATAAAAAATAAATTCTTCAATTTTCTGACGTCAGTCTATGTTTAACAGTATTTTCTCAAAAATATTGAAAACTCTTTATAACTTTTAGTAGTTTCTAGATGAAAACATTGAGCCATGTTTTGAGTCAGACTAACATTTAATTTATATACCGTACTAACGCAGTACCTGTATAAATTATTATTTAAGTTTTATGTTTTTAGTCAACAAATTATGAAACATTTTGCAACAAAACACTCAAAGATTACCCGAAATCTAATCATACGTTTCTAAACTAAATATGTTTTGCGGAGAATTAGTTGTCATTACAATCGACTAATTTTGCTAATATTTTTTTATTCCCATTTTTTATTGATTATTAAATCCAATATAAATGTATGGATGATATGGAGATATGGAGGATATTTCACATAAAAAGTAAAACTAATCAAAACTTGTGATCCTTTGATGAATCGAAGGATGTTTTCGTTTCGTAGACTTGTAGTCGTTTACCACTACTTGATGTCTCAATTCAACATTTATTATCATTTATCTATTAATTCATTTATTACCAATAATCAATTTTTGCTTTTATAATAAATTTATTATTTAGTTTATGTTTTCCAGTTTTTGTTGATAACCGATTTAATTGAAATGGTGTAATAGTAATACAGTATTACTGTTATGAATGATAACTTATGATTGTTTTAAAGGATTGTTATTTTTCTCTCATTTATAAAGTACTTTATATTAATGTCGTATCTTATTGGCAGGGTAAATTATTTAAATTAATTACAAGTTGATTAAAATAATACAGTATTAATGTTGTATTAATAATGCATTTTAATTTTTTTAAAATATTGATAGCAATTAGGACTAAATAGAGATATCACATTTAATTAAACCTAAGAAATATAGTATTATATTATTTATAGAATTATGAAATGATTTAAAGAAATAAGTGTTTTTTGACAAACTCTCATATAATCACAGAATATAATTTTATTGATTTAATATTTTAAGCTTAAATTGATAACAAGTACAAAAATGTTATTTAAGTACTATTATAAAATATTAGATTAGTAGACTATACCTATTACTATATCACAAAATGCTGAAACTTCATGTTTGATATTATGTCTAAGAATTGTTTTTAAAACTCCAGATCCAACCAGTTATGTTTACTCCAGATCATTTTATCCATTGTTTACAATCTATTTATATTTAAATAAAATATCATGTGACACTAACTTATTTTAAACTACAGTGTTACTTAATTACTTATAAAAATACAGTATTTATAATAATTACAAATTTTAATAAATAATTTTTGCATATTTTGGGAAGGTTGATGTGTTTTAAAACTATTTAATTAACTAACTAACTCGTGAATTTATTTTTGTTTTAAATTTATGGGTAATGTTTTAAAAATGTTGATACAGTATACCTTGTTTTTTAGATTTTTGTAATGGTTACTTATAACAAATATAAATATTTTAATATACATTATATTTAAACATTGCATAATATTTAATTAAACATAACATTTTATTTTATTTAAAATTTATTTAATAAACTAATTTTAAAATAGATAATTATTTTTAATAAAATTTAATAGATTTTTAAAATTAAATATCTGATTATTCCTTTTAATTATATAAAACTTTAATGAATTTATAATAGGTAATTTAAACTAAAACCTCTATAAATCTGTATAATAAAATCTTGGTTAAATTCCATTAAATCTATTATACAGTAAACTAATATAACTTTATATAAAAATGTGCATTGTTGCAATTAATGTACAGTTAACTGTACATAATAATGGGAACTAAATGACTTTATTAATGATTGTATTCATTTCTATCGCTTAACTGACAAATAAGTGATTTTTATGTTAAACTTTCAATTGTTGTCAATAAAAGTTTAAACTCAAGCCAATCCATCAATTTTGGTAAATTATGAAACACTTTGACATTATATTTCCATTTCAATTGTCTGTGAAAAGGAGGGCATAATTGGAGTCACTATTAGAAGTGATAGTTTTTATTTTCACAATAAGTTATCATATTTTATGATAACTTTTTTTTAATGTTATTGACATTAAGCACAATAACAATAAATTATTTTAAATATATTTATCTTAAAATTGACAAATAAATCATATAGTTTTCAAATACACAATATTCTACTTAAATGACTAAATGTTGTATTATTGTATTTATTTGTACTAATTTTTTTATTTGTCCTTTCAATAAAAGTTTTTTTATAAGAAAGTGAACTTTTAAAAATTCTATTTATTTTAGTATTTAATATTAAATAAAATATAATTTATCAGCATAGTATTTATATAAGTAATTAATTTTTACAGAAATCGTGTTCAATAATTAGTATAAATATTTAATATATAAAATATTTTACATTTTTATTATTTTTATTGACAAGTAAATAGTTTTAAAATAAATTTAAATATACTTTTATTAAATTATGTGGAAAGAAATTTCTAATTGCCAATAAATTAAAATTCAAACTTATTTATATAGACGATATAAGATTGAATGTCCTGGAGGTCCATACTTTGTAATAAAATAGTTTAAACATTTATAAATTGTTTTAAATACAGATGATTTTGACATGAATTGGTAATTACCATTCAATATTGGATTTATGATTTGGATGAGCGATAGCTCACTTAAAATAGCATTTGTTTGAGACAGTAGTAGTGGTCACAACAGATATGTTCCCATTTATTAACGGACCTGTGCTCTAAATTAAAGTCAAATTTGTCTGTATTAATAGGCCATCCCTCGTGATTACAGATATAGTTACTGAACTACAGTATACTATTGGAACCAAAATCTATTGGAAACTCAGATTTCGAGTCAATTCCATATGATTAGAGACCATATAATAGGCATTGGTTTGCATTGCTTTGAATGGTATTTAATATTGACTTAAGAAGTGTTACATCGAATCCACTGTCAAAAGCTGTATAACAGTTAGCGTT